AACAAAAGCCAGAAAATATTAACAATAAAAGAAAAAAATGATAAAATGAAATTTAACAAAATTTTAAAAATCTGCTAAACAAAAGATATCATTAATAAAATTATTTAGAAAACAAGCCAGCAACTTACATAAGATATAGATGAAACACTTATGTCTAGAATATATAAACAACTTCAACAACTCAATAGTAAAAAGAAAATAACTAATAAAAATGGACAAAAATCTTGCATAGGCACCTCACAAAGGAAGATAAATAAATAGTCAATAAGCCCTTGTAAAAGTATTCAAGCACATCAGGAACATTGAAATTGAAATCACAATAAGACAAGACCACCTACTCCCTAAAATGGCTAAAATTAAAAAGATTGATGTCATAAAATGTTAGCAAGGATGCAAAGCAACCTAAAGGCACATACATTGTTTGAGTGCAAAATGTTGCAAAGTACTTTTGAGATTGCTTTAGCGTCTCATAAAGTTAACATATACCTACCTCAGGGCCCAGAAGTTCCACTTCTAATAATATACCCAGAAGAAATGGAAACGTGTGTCTACAGAAAGACTTGTACCTGAAGGATCATAGCACATCTATTCATAATAGATAGAAACTGGAAACAACCCAAATGACCATATCGTCATAAACATGTAAAAAAAATTGTGGAATACTTGTACCTTGGAATACTACTCAAGAAAGAAATACTGCTCAGTGAGGAAAGGAGAAACCTCTTTTACATGCTACAATGTGGATGAAACTCAAAAACATGCTATGTGAAAGAAGTCAGACACAAGAGAACATCCTATATAGTTCCACTTATATGAAATTTTAGAAGAGGCAAATTCTGCTTCTGGTCAAATTTAGTAGCAAAGACATTATTTACCCTCCTTTCAGAAACAACAGCAAAAACAAAATATATGCAACAGTGATTTGTAAGACACTATACATCAGATAATGAAGAATAATGATCCCTGAGATTTGGGGAAAATACAGAGTGAGCTCTCTGGTTGCCCCGGCTTACTGCTTAGCAGACTTTCCAGGCCTTAGGGCGGACAGCAGAACACCTGACAGAGCTTGCCATTTCCCTGGATTGAAGAGATGGAGCTTGGAATTTGGGAAGTCCACCAGCCCCTAGAGTTCACAAGACAAGGTACCAGGGAGGTGAGAACCTAAACTCCAGAGCTCACATACGACTGACAGAATTCATGCACCACGGGATACAGTACTCAGAAGCATTATGACTCAATAGGCAAGAGTAGCCATATGCTAAATGTCGCTTTAGTCCCAACTAACAAAACTTAAAAGCAAGACCCGTAAGGATTTGTGGAAAATGGTTTTCTGGCACCCAGCCTTCTTAGCAGTGCTTGGGAAACTCCAGAGTTGTGTGAGGTTTCAGGGCCCACTGCCCTGAGAGGGATAAAGGGTGCCATGTGGGTGGGACAATGTGCATCTAGTCCCATGTTCACCCAGACTTGTCTGGATTAAATTTCTGAGGAAGGCTTCAGTTGGAGTAAACGGTCCCATATCTAGAATGTACCACCACTGTAGGACAGTTAGACACAGGTTGTGTCATGGATTCCTGGCCTTCAGGGACCTGTGCTCTCATGGACTCTGGTCATTCCACTCTCCCCAGGTCCTCCTGATGTCCCTCACTGAGAGCATTCTCTCTGCACTCATTCCCTGCCACCTGGTCATTCTGATCAAATCCTTCTTTCTCAAAGTAAGGGGGAAAAAATATCACTGACATTTCAGAATTTTAAAGCATGCCCAGAGGAATTCTGGTACTCAAGGCATCACTGAAGAAATCCTGCTTTCAATGGATGAGAGATTAAGTTAATTTTCTGCTTAACCTACTTAGAAAACCAGGAAATTAAAATAACTGTGAGACATATTTTTTCACCCAAAAGTTTGTCCAAAATTTAAAAGGTTGATAAAATGCCCATGAGAGTGTAAATTATTTACAGATACTAATATATGAGAATATGAGTCAGTACAGCTTTATTGAAACAGAATTTCAACACTATTTATAAGATTTACAGTTACCACGTTCTTTCCACTTTAATCCACTTTGCACTTTGCTATCTCTTACCTATAAGAAAACATATGTATTTGCCCAAGAATTCATGCTCAGTGACATTGATATCAGCTCTATTAATCATAGCAACAAATAGGGAAGAATTTGTGTCTATCAGGAGCAGAAGGGTTAAATTAATTATGGCACATACACTATTAGAATTCTTGGGAGTAGTTAAGAGTAAGGTGGATCCTAACTACTGTGTGCCCTCATGGAAAGACCCTAAATTCATTTCAACAAGTGACAAGGGCAACCGTCAGAAATAATATATATACTGCTATCCATATATATTAAACACACATTTAACACACATCGATGTAAGGAAAAGTTTGAAATTCCATGAAGTTTTAGTTGTGGTTGCTTTTGAGGATGGGGATGAAGTTTTGAGGAATGTAGTTAAGGAAGTAGAATTGTGATTTATTCACACTGTTAGAATTTGAGGGCAATAAGAGTATTTGTACTGTTACCTGAAGCCAAAATTTTCCTCTGGGGCAAACATGGAGACAAGCAGCAGTGAAAGAATGCTGACTTTTTCTTTTCCTATCAAGGATAGTGCATCTGTCATAGAACCACTTTCCACCTCCTGGAAGGACTCCTGGGTGTTTGGAATTCTGTCTGTGTAGATATTTGCTTACACAGTGATTTCCATGATCTTTTCTCATCTACTACTTATGCACAAGGCTTTGTTTTTGGCTAACAAGGTAAACTCACTCATTGGTGTATGTGGTAAATGGCCAATCTCAAATAATTTAGCCCGACCCTCTACTCCAAATATCAGGGTAGTTCCCAAAGCCTCCTCTCTAACTTGAGAGTTGTATCCCAAGAACCAGTAGATTGTGCCAAATCAGACTCTAGTCACCAACAGATTTGAAAACACTTTGAGAATGTAGTGGAGGCACCCAGGGGGGATGAGGAGGTGTCTGAACTTCCCCATCAGAAGTGAGCAATGACACAGAAGGCAGTTGCTTTCAGAGAGGTCTACAGTGAGGGATGGGATTTGTGGGCATCAGAATGCTCTAAGCCATGGGGTAGCAGGTATGGGCTGTGTCTTCCATGGGGAGCAGGTGTAGCCTCCAGAGGAGGACGCAGACAAGGGCTGGCCCCAGGTCTGGTTTCAGTTGGGATGTGAGGGCACACTGAGGTGGCCCAGGGGAAGGGAGCTGTCATTTGGGGGAGTGCTGGGGCTGGACACACGTGCTGGGACCAGGGCAAAGTCAGCTCCCAAGGAACTGTGGGTGAGGGGCAGCAGGATCCCGAGTACATGAGGCCCACAGACAATCCCCAAATGGTTTATTCTCATGTTCACCTTCCTTCTGTAGGCCTGCTTTAGCACTTTGGCCCCAGGATTTTCCTTCTTACCACCTGGCAGACACCATGAAATAATGAGAAGAGAAATGAATTATAATAGACACAAGGTCAACCTCAAGCTGGGCAGAGTGGCATAGTGTAGGGTCTAGAGAATGAGACCAGGACTAGTCTCAGACCTTTCACTAGCTGTGTGAACTCAGCACATTCCCAAACTCTGAGTCTTAGATTCTTCATCAGTGAAGGGGTATGACAAGCCCTGCCTTGTAGGACTGTTGGAATGTATATCATGTTTGTAAAGCACCTGGCACAGTGACTGGTGTGCATGGAAACTTGAAAGAATGGCAATGATTGCTCTTTTTTGACCCCTGAAAATGCCAACCTCCTGCTGAGATTTTTGGGTTTTGTTTTGTTTTGTTGTTTTAATCCAGGAGATGTCTGAGACTATGAGGTGCTGTAGGGCACTGAACACCAAGTCCACCAAAAATTCTGCTCAGCAAGAAAAATACCTTAGTAAAACATCCCCCATAGAGGACATACTACTTAATTTGGATGTTAGGGAACCTTCCCCATCTGGATGCAACTCCAAACTCCTAAAATGTTTGTCAAGATCCAACTCCTTCCCTCTCTCCTAGCTGCCCTTTGATCCAAATCACCTATATTTTCATTTATTAACCTCAACCAACATTGAGCCCTTCCTTAGAGATGGCCAAATTTTATTCAGGATAACCCAGTTAAAGTGCCCTTTTAATGGAGTGGGCTCTGTTTTTCCCAGTTCAGGGCAAAGAGTGAGAGCACAGTGGCTTCTTGGCATCCCATCTCAAGGAAGTATTACCCTTATTTTCAGAAAGTCCCTGGTGATGATGTGAATAAAACTCCTAGTTTGTGCACTGTGGAAGGAAGCACAGGGTTCCTTCCATCCCTGGTCCAGGAGGAGATTCTCTCTGGTTTATCCACGATCCTGAAGTAACTGCTAAAAGCACGTCTCGATTGGAGGCTTAGTTTCTTAACTTTGAGACAACCCCCACCCCAAGACATGGCCCTTGCTCACCACTCTCACACCCTCACTGACCTTCCAAAAGGCAGATGCTCCATTAATGTCTAAAGAATAATTTTTAAAAGTGTCAGTGAGCAATTTATTATGATTTAATTTCTCTTACATTCTAGAATAAATGAAGCAAGTTCAGGCAAAAATTTTTTATTTTTCAGCCCAAGATTAAACAAGGAATAAGGGAAACCAGGAGTTGATCATCTTTTGACTTTTTTCTCTATTTTTTGATCCCAACTATTTTAGTACTGATTTCTTTCACATTTCTTAGGAAATGCCTATTTCAATGTTATGTTTTCTTGTTCCATATCACTAAATAAGATGGAAGGTTACCCAATTTGTTTTATAAACTAGCAAGACTGTTACTCTTAAACTTCATAAACAGCATTAAATATGTAACCTATATCATTTATGTATTCAGATTCTGAAGCTAAACTTTTAAAAAAATATTTGAAAACTTTCAACAACAAAAGATGAATCTACAAGTTACTCATGTAGAACATATGATATGCACTGTGTTTCCTCCAGCACCACCTAAGTACCCCCGCTACTTCAAACAGAAAGTGAGGAAAGTGCTTTCATTACATGTGGGGGAAGCTGCCAGAATTAACCATGGAACACACACTGGCCTGGCCACCAGTATGAAGCATGGCTGCAAATCTGGCCCGGACTCCTTCCTCTTCATCTTGCAAAGCCTCTTCATACCAGGATGGGAAGGCACTGGGAACCGTATTGTGCATCTTGGCCAAGAACTCGAGGACTTTCATTTTACTGGTTTCGGCATGGGATCTCGGGCCCCACAGGAACTTGTAGCGTGGAGGGTCACTGTTGGGCACCTGCTGGTACTCCAGGTAGCTCTCCTGCACCAAATCTTGAGTGACGAGCTTCTGGACATCTCCATGGATGAAGTGCTTCCTTCCAGCATACATCCCCATCACATTAAGCACTTCCCAGATATCCTCTTCGGTGGCACAGTTGCCCTTTATGAAGATCACACAGAGGATGGTCATCAGGAGGCCGGTCTTGGGCATGATCTCCTCACCCCTCAGCCTCTCATCAGAGGTGTGCTGCAACTTCCTGCCAAGGGCATAGCAGTGCCTGGTAGGGTCGACTTCCTTCACATCAGTGCCAAAGGCCAGCACCATTAGCTCGGAGGCTTTCCGGAGGGATCCCATGGAAGTGCTCCTTGTCCTTTTTGATGACATGCTTCATCACGTCTTCCTTCATTACGGTCTCCCTCTTGTGATACTTTCGCAGCAGGAATTGCACCAGCAGAATTGCCTTCTCATCTAGAGGGGTTCTTAGGTGATCGTCAGTGCTGGGTGGTGCCCAGGAGGTACTTGGTCTTTCCTTATCTTGGCTCTTGGCGCCTTTATCAGATCTTGTGCATGAAACCCCTCAGAAGTAGTGGTAGTGGATGGGGCTCTCTGTGACCCCTGGGAGGTGCTACTTTTCCCAACAACAGAGGCACTCTGGGAATTATCACCAAAAGGAGGAGAGAGGGAGAAATGGGGCTCTTCCTTCTCTGCTGCAGTGGCCTCAGCAGCCTGGAGGCACTGAGCCTCACTCTGGGCCTGGCGGCATTTCTCACGCACGAGTTTACTCTTCTGACCCCGAGGCATGATGACAGTGCTCAGAGACAGCAGGCAGGGGTGTGGGCTGGAGGGCAGACAGTGAGGGCACCTGGAGGAGGAAGAAGGAGACTGCATGCACCTTCAGTGGGGAGAACCCACCTTGGCTTTAACCTTGCAGAGGAAATTATTATGTGCCTTGGGCTGCAGCCTGCCAAACTCTTGTCTCAAGTGAGCTGGAGCTGAGAACAGGGTTGGCAGGTCTAGACTCTTTGGAGTCCCCTCTGTTCTCAGGTGGAGAATCCTCTCAGTTTACATTTCGAATCATCCTGTCAGCTGTTGGCAGGATCCGAGGCACCTCCTCTCTGCAGCTCTGAAGCTAAACTGTCTTAACTATCTCTCTGAGACCCCAAAGGAGGAAATGAGGGAGAGCCTTTAGTTGAATACACTTGCTGGAGCCTTCCAGAGCTGACAACAGCAGTCTTTGGTGCCGTCCTGATACTACCGCACAGTTTTGGGGCTCTGGCTCTGAGGACCTCCTTCACATTTCTTCAGTAAATTAGTAGAAATCAGTACTGGAAACATGACAGGAAAACTTCCAAACAATACAAAATTAAACACTATGCTTCTATATCATATGTAAACCCAACAGTGTTTCTCAATGAACATTTTATATATATGTGTGTGTGTGTGTGTGTGTGTGTGTAATTAAAAGAGGAAAATTAAACATTTTAAAATCAGTGGAAGCTAGGAAAATACACATCACAAAATGTTTATATTTTTTAAATATATCTCAAATCAATTATCAAAGCTTGCCTCCCAGGAAATTAGAAAAGGAGGCAGGTGTTAGGAAAGATAAACCACTGTATGAACATAAACTTGACAACACATAGAGAAATGGCCCTTTCTCTCCTTGAAAACCACAAACTGCCTAAACTCATCCAAGTTAAAATAGCCTGAATAATACTATAAATATTAAAGAAATGGAATTCATAGTTGAAAACCTTGTTAGAAAAATAATTCTCCCAAGGGGGTCATTGTATGGTGATGGATGGTAACTAGATTTTTTAAGGTAATCATGGTGTAGTGTCTACCCATGTCAAGTTATAATGTTTCACACCTATCATTTTGTTTGAAGTACAAATTTGAGCTGACCATACCAAAGTTGGTATACTGTGGAAATGTTTTGATACATAAAAACTTAAGAATAGAAAAAAAATTCTCTCAATTAAAATGGTTTTGCTGACACATTCTACCAGGTAGTTAAAGAAGAAATAACATCACTTATGATCTCTTCCAGAAAATAGAAAAGGCAGAGATACTTCTCAACTCATTAATGAGGCCAATATTACTTTTATACTAAAGCAAGGCAAAGATAGTATAATAAAAGAAAACTATGGAAAAATACCAATATTAAACAAAAATCTGCAACGAAGTATTAGCAAACTTAGTCCATTAGACTTTGTGGTGGAAAACTGAATGCTTTCTCATTAAGACTGGGTATAAAGCAAATAATGTCCACTTTCATCACTCCTATTTGACATAGGTTTGAAGTCCTAGCCAGTGTTAATAACACAGGAAAAAGAAACAAAGGACATGCTAATTGGAAACAGTGCAATAAAAAAGTCTCTGTGTAGATGACTGGTTGTCAAAAAAAAATTCCCAAGGAATTTAGGGAAAAAAAGAAACCCATTTTGTATATCAAGACTCTGATAGGTTAAAAGTAAAAAGTTGAAAGATATTAGGACAGTGAAACTTTTTTGTTTGATACTATAATGGTGGATATATGACATTACACATCTGTCAAAATCTATAGGGTTCATACAACACAGAGGATGAATTCTAATGTATACTATGGATTTTAGTTAATAAAAGTATATTAATATTAGTTCATCAATTATAACATGCTAATGAAAAATGTCGGTAATAGGGGAAACTATGCATGTCAGGGTTGGGGTATATGAGAACTAGTACTTTGGGCTTAATATTTCTGTAAACCTAAAACTGCTCTAAAAAATAGCAATTAATTTTTTTAAAGCAAATAAAGTTGATAAGTCTTTAGCCAGGGTAACCAAGAAATAAAAGAGAAGATATAAACCACCAATATCAGAATTGAAAGAGTGACCACTACTATTGATTCAGACATTAAAGGATAAAGATGGAATACTATGAACAACTCTATGTCTGCAAATTTGGTAACAGGTGACATGGATCAATTCCTTGGGAGATACAAACTACCTAAACTCATTTAAATTGAAATAAATAATCTGAATAGTCTTACATCTATTAATGTAATTAACAGTTTAAAACCTTCCAAACAAAGACCCCACCTAGTTTCATTGGTGAAGTCTGTCAAACTTTTAAGGGTGAAACAAATATCTGCAATCTTTTTCAGAAAATTGAAGAACAGAGAAGCATTCCCAGTTCTTTTCTTGAGGCCAGCATCACCCTAAGCCCAAAGCCAGATAAATACATTACTGGAAAAAGAAACCACAAATATCTCTCAAGTATATAGACAAGAAAAAAAAATCCCTAACAAAGTAATAGCAAAGAGAGTCCAGCATATGTAAAAAGAATAATACATCATTATCAAGTGGAGCTCATTTCCAGAATTCAAGCCTAATTCAACATTTGTAAATCAATTAGTGTATTCCATCATATAATGGACTGAATAAGAAAATTAATGAGATCATATTAATAGATGTAGAAAAAGAAGAAAATTGTAATACCATTTATTATAAAAACTTTAAAAATTTGGATTAGAAGGGAGCTTCCTTAACCTGATAAAGGATATATAAGAAAATCTATAGCTAACATACTTAATGATGAGAGTGTGAATACTTTCCCTCTAAGATTAGAGATGAAACAAGGATGTCCTGTCATTACTCTTATTCAGTATCATAATGGAAGTCCTATCTAGTGCAAGATAAACAATAACAAGCCATACAGATAGAAAAAGGATAAATAAAAATTATATTTTTTTGCATAGGAAGTGGTTGTCTATGTAGAAAACCTCAAAAAATCTATAAGAAAACCTCTTGGAACTAATAAACAAGTATAATTAATTGTTTTGCTATATATAAGCAGTAAACAACTAGAATTAGAAATTTAAAAAGGCAAAAACATTTACAAGTGCATAAAAAATGTAATACTTAGATATACATCTAACAAAATACATAGCAGATCCATTTGTGGAAAACTACAAAACATTTATCAAAGAGCATGTAAATATATTCCCTGTTTTGAATTGGTAGACTCACTATTATAAATGTCAGTGATTTCTAACTTGATCTACAGGTAATTCAATCCCAATAAAAATCCCAGCAACTTTTTTATAGCAATCAACAAATGGAGTCTAACATCTATATGGAGTTGTCCTAGAGCAGCCAGCACAATGTCGAAAAACTAAACCACATTTGAAGATTCACATTACTGTATTTCAAGACTTAAAGTTATAGTAGTCAAGAAAGCATAGTATTGGTGAAAGAATAAACAAATAGGTCATTAGAACATAGAACTGAAAGTGCAGAAATAGACACACGCACAAATACAGTCAAGTAACTTATGACAAAGGAGCAAAGACAAGTAAGTGAAAAAAGAGTAATTTTTTCACCACATAGTGCTAGAAAATTTGGGTGTCTGTATGGGGAAAAAATGAACTTGGACAGATACCTCATACCTTATGCAAAAATTAATTCAAAATGTATTATAGATCTAAATGTAAAATGCAAAACTTCTAGAAGACAAAATAAGAGAAAATCTGTGACTTTCGGTGTTGTGATGAATTTTAGATACAAAACCAAACACCCAATCTATAGAAGAAAAATATGGATAAATTGGACTTGATTCAAATGAAAAAGTTTTGCTCTGTTAAGGGAATGGAAAAACAAGCCACAAACTGAGAGAAAATATTTGCAAATAACATATCTGATAAATGACTTGTATCTGAATGTACGAAGAACTCTTAAAACTCAACAACAATGAAACAAGCAAGCAGTAGTAGTTTGAATGGTGTCTCTAAAAAGATATATCCATTTGCTAACCCCTGGAACCTGTGAATATGAACTTATTTGGAAAAAGCCTTTGCAAATGTAATTAAATTAAGGATTTCAAGATGTGAAGATCCTGGATTTAGGGCATGCCTGCTATTCAAGAAGGAAGACAGAGGGAGAATTGAGACAAAGACCTGCAGAAGGGAAGGCCATGTAAAGACAGGGGTGGAAGCAGAGATTGGAGCAAGGCATTTACAAGGGTAGGAACACCAAGAATTGCTGAGTAGCTACCAAGAAGGTAGGAGAAAAGCATGGAATGGGTTCTCTCTCAGAGCCTCCGAAAAGAAACAACCCTTCTAAGAACCACTAGGTTTCAGACTTCTGACCTCCATTACTGTGAAAGGTAAATTTCTTTTGTTTATTACAGTTATTCTAGGGAAATAATACACAACCCTATGTTTAAAGTGAGCAAAAGATCTAAACAGATATTTCTTAAAAGAAATATACAGATGGCAAAGAGGCATAGGAAAGGATGCACAACGTAATTAGGCATTAAGGAAATGCTAGTTAAAACAATTAGTTACCGTTACACACCTATTAAAAAAGCTAAAATACCAATTACTAGTGAGGATGCAACTGAATCTCTCATACACTGATGCTGAAAATGTAAAACAGTGCAGCCATATTGGAAAGTTTGGCAGTTTCTTACCAAGTTAAACATAATTTTATCACATGATCTAGAAATTATGCTCCTACATATTTATCCAACTCATTTGAAAGCTTATGTCAACACAAGTAACTGCACGTAAATACTTACAGCAGCATTATTCACCATCACTGAAAACTAAGCTGTCTTTAATAAGTGAGTGAATAAATCATCTGTGACACATGCATACTTCAGAATACTATTCAGCAATAAAAAGTAATAAACTATCAATTCATGAGATAACATAGATGAGTCTTAAATGCATGTTACTATGTAAAAGAAGCCAGTGACAAAATGCCACATACTATTTGATTCCATTTGTATGTCATTCTGGAAAAGACAGACCTATAGAG